ACTCTAAACTTATAACCCTAACCCAGGCCCTTATCCTAACCCTAACCTTTACACTAGCCCTAACCGTAACTGTAATTCAGGCCCTTGCCCTAACACTAACCCTAACGTTTAAACTAACACAAACTTTAACCCTAACACTAACCCTAACGTTTACACTAACACAAACCTTAACCCTAACACTAACCCTAACGTTTACACTAACACAAACCTTTACCCTAACACTAACCCTAACGTTTACACTAACACAAACCTTTACCCTAACCCTAACACTTACCCTCACCCTTACCATAACCCTAACTTTTACACTAACCCTAACACTTACCCTTACCCTTACCCTTACCCTTACCCTTACCCTTGCCCTTACCCTTACCCTGACCCTAACCCTATCCCTTACCCTTGCCCTAATCTTGACACTAACCCTAACCTTAACCCTAACCCTAAACGTTACCCTAACCCTTACCCTAACCCTTACCCTTACCCTAACCCTAACCCTAACCCTTACCCTAACCTTTACACTAACCCTAACCTTTACACTAACCCTAACCTTTACACTAACCCTAACCTTTACCCTAACCCTAACCTTTACACTCACCCTAATCCTAACCCTAGCCCACTTTCTGACCTGTTGTGGTTCGCGTGCACTCTTTTGTAGTTTGCTCCTTAATTCTTATCAAACGTCTACCGTCGTATCTCTCCTCCTTGTTGTGTTTGGTGCCTAACACTTACCCAAACCAATCGATACAGCTAAGACAAACACACACACATATACACACACACTCACACACACACACACACACACACACACACACACACACACACACACACACACACATACACACACTCTCTCTCACACACACGGAACAAACCAACAAAAAAAACCTTAGTCGCCCCCCCCCAAAGAAAACAAAAAACCCAACAAAAGAAAACAAAACAACAACAACAACAACAAAATAACAAAGAAACACGGTGACAATGAAGTCCTACAAAACTGAAACAAAACAGCAACAACAACAACAAAACAACAACCACAACAACAACAACAAAATAACAAAGAAGAACGGTGACAATGAAGTCATACCAAACTGAAACACTACCCATATCCTCTCTCCTTAGGAAAAAAAAAACCGCAACAAAAAACAAAAAAGAAAGAAACGCCACCTCCACCCGGCAAACCAAACAATATCAAACCCCGACCGAACAAAACACTCTCAACACAAGGACAATCCCACAGTTCTCCCACTCCAGCCTCCCCCCC